GCCAAGACTTAACATTTGTACCCTCAACTATTTGAGAGTGCTTGTTCTTTCTTACTCAGCATGAGACCTATGATACTTTGTAAAATTACAAGACATTTTTAGCTCCATTCCAGTGATCTATATCTGGACTGGACTTCTGCCAAAATATCCCGGATACATAAACTACGTCAGGGTAAGTTCTTACTTGTACTTGTACACTCATCAAGCTTCCAACAACTGAAGCATATGGAACCATGTTCATTTGATCGATCTCATATCGGTTCCTAGAACACTTAGAGTTTCCAAAACTATTACCCTTGACTATAGGAGCAGGCGTAGGTTTACTCGCATGCATACTTTACTTCTTTGGAATCTTTTCTATGTATGCCTTTGCGATAGTCCTAATACCCCATTTTTCTTCTATCTCGGTGAATTTTGATTTCCTAGAACCAATGACGATTCACCAAGATCATTCACATTAAAACTTGAGGACAAAACTTCTTCTTCTTCAATGACAGATTAACATCACTACTAGTGAGTAGAATGTCATCTATTCACAAGATGTGGAAAATGAATTTTCCTTTCTTGAACTTCGTATGAACGCTATTGTCCTTCTTATTTTCTTTAAAACCCAAACTTTCTTATCATTGTTTCATCAACTTCAAATGCTACTGTATAGAGACTTACTTTTGACCCATAAATGGATTTCTACAGGCGGCATCCCATATGTTCTTTTCTTCCATGACAAAACCTTTTGGGTTACGCCATGTAAATGTTTTCATATAAATTCCCGTTGAGGAATGATGTCTTTACATCCATCTGATGTAACACTAAATCGTAATATGCCATTAACACCATTATGATTCTAAAAGAATCCTTACATAAGATTGGAGAGAAAACTCTCATTGTAATCTATTCTTCTCTTTGCTTAAAGCATATTGCCACAAGTCGTGCTTTATATCTTTCTACATTCCTTTGAGTCACATTTTGTCTTGTAGACCCATTAACAGCCTACTGTTTTGGCTCCATTAGGAATTACTTCTAAGTCCCAAACATTGTTAGTATTCATCGAATTCATTTCAACTTTCATAGTTTCTTGCCATTTAAATGAGTAAACTCTTCTCATGGCTTCTTCAAATGAGGTGGATCACCCTTCATTTGAATTTCTTTACTAACCTAGACTTTATAATCATTGAAAAACTAGTTTACTAATTCTTTGAGACTTTTGGGGCCTCAGCTACTAGCACTTTCATATGGGGCTGTTGTTGCTCTTCATTGCCAAGAGACAATTGATTCTACAGACTCCTGTATAACAAGATCCTTATTTACATTATTCATCTTCTTCGAAGAGCTAATAATAGGTGTTGTATTGGTCATACAAGATCAACAGGTATTGAGAAACTTGTTGCTCCTGAGTCACTGGAGTGGGCACAAAGTCCCTCTTCTCTTCAAGTTTTAGGTCTCTACATACCTCTACATACCATGCTCCCCCAGATCTTGTCATCTTTTCTAAAGATAGTGTATCTTCAAATATCTTATTTTGGATTTAATCTGTTAAAATCTTATATGGCGCTTTAAGCACCACCTTAACATCTTTGAGACTGTCGGCGCTATTTTTCTGTCGGAACTTTAAAAAGTCCAGGAATTTAGCTATTTCTCTGCTTAGGGGTATCATTGTTGTAACCATTGTACTCTACTGACGGTCACATTCATCTTAATTAATCTTTATCTCACTCTTAATGAAGAGTATCTTTCTTAATTGATCTTTATATTTTTCTCCCCCTCGAAATATGGCATGCACTTTACTGCCATAATTTCGATAACTATTCAGAAAGCCCGTAAATGAGGAGACACTTATAGCTTACTTTATTCATATGATTGTGTCATGTAAACAAAGTTATTTCTTGATCCGTTTAGGAGTACACTTTACTTAATTCACTTTAAGAACTCAACGGGGTCTTTCATTAGCGATACTTTTGCAAGTCACACTTGCATCTTTTCTTATCTTTTGGTTAGTATTGACCATGACTATGCATTTCTATTGTGCCAAGGTCAATACTAGGGCAGCATAAGAGCTACCCAAACTTCTCTCGCTATATGGGATACAAAACATGTGAATCATCACAAAACTTCTCTCGTCATGCTAGATGGACTAGCATAATTACTATGCCAAAACTTCTCTCCATGCGGGATACATCTATATGAAAACTTAGTCATGACAACTAAAACATTCACTAATACTTCATTTTCTAATTAAATCTTCCCGTTTGTTTTAATTTAATTAGAAAATTAATAAACTAATAAAAACTGTCCTGAACTGGCTTGACTCAAGCCTTTTCATTGACATACCCAGTATTTTAGCTCGTTGGCATGCAGCCGAGTGATATCGTCGAATTAAAACATACAAGGTGCTTCTGCATCAATTCTACATCACCGTTGGGTAGAAAATAGAATTAATGCATAGAACTTATAAATTAACTTGAAATTCATATATCTACTCTTTAAAATTAAATTCGTTCGTTGGTTCGAATTTAATTTAAAGATAATCAACATCATTGAGGCGGAAATATGTTAATAAAATACATTCTATTAGTTCAGGAATATTTCTTGGTCCTTATCTACTCTCTGAAAATTAACCACGTTGGTGTAAAATTTATCAGAGATTTAAACCTCAAACTTAAACTCATTATAATATTGTTATCATCAACGTTGGTCAGAAAATAATAATACCATAATTTAACACAAATAAAAACAGACTACTCCTCTAATTAAATTTTTCTGTTAGTTCCAATTTAATTAGAGGATCAACATAATCATAATTTACTAAATATAACTGCTCTTCAAATTAAATTCTCCTGTTGGTTCAAATTTAATTAGAAGATAATCAGCATTAAACTTCGCAGCGGAAACTTAAAGATAATTTGTGAATTTTACCCATAGGAAAATTCACATTTCTTCTATTTTCTTTGAGCCATTTTTCTTTTTCTAGAAATAAACATTTACTGGAAAATAAAAAAGAAAAAAAAACTGGGCTCAATCCTGACTGGTTCTCAGCCTAAAACGGCAAAAGCCACCCGGCCCAGCTCCCTTGCATGCACGCTACCCGCACCCAGGCCACAACCTGGGCCTGGGCCGGCAAAACCGCGCGGCCGCGCGCGCCCGCCTAGGCCGGCCTCCGGTCCGTTGATTCTGCGCCGTTTGATGGAGATCAACGGCTACGCGTGCTCTTCGACCGAACAAAAACGGCGTCGGCCGGCTCCCTCGTAAAAACCCTATCTCATTTCCTTTCTCTTTCCCTCCCGTCTCTCTCGCACAGCCGATGAGCAGGCAAAATGGTGCCGCCGCCTGATCTTAGCCGCACCGTCGAGGGGTTGCTCACCGGAGCACGCGTGTGGGCGAGGCTACGCGTGGCCTCATCGAGCCGCCTCACGGTGGCGCGTGGAGGTGAGCCTAGAGCCAAGAGAGAGAGAGAGAGATGGCGCCGTCACTGGCCTCCTCGCCGACGCACGTGCTCCCCAGCAGGTGAGCGCGCTGCCGTCGAGCGGCCTAGCCGTGGTGCCCTAGCACGAAGCTCGCGCAGGCCCGACGAGCATCGGCTCAGAGTACATCTCGCGCGCTAACGAGGCGGCAGTGCGGTGGAGTGCCGAGGTAGGCCTCTTCCCCTCTTTCCCTTTCCATCTTCTGTCTTTGGATCTTGTTGTGTTCTTCTCGGTTCTTTGCCGATTGGGGATTAGGGTTAGGGTTGCATTAGGGTTAGGGTTTCATACTATTCTTCTTCCCCGAGCTTTTACGTGGGTTAGGGTTAGGTTAGGGTTGCTTTTCAAAACCCAAGGCCCTTCTCACTCCTTTTCTTCCCTAATTTTGGGTTTAGGGTTAGGAACCCTCTGTCTCGATCCGAATTGGATCTTTCTCATCTCTAAATTGCTACCCCTAATTTAGATCTACACTAGAACCTAGCTCTGGTACCATTGATAGGCTTTCTTAACCTCTAGGTGTAGATCTAGCGGGTATGAACAGCTCGTTGGTGTACCTTGGTAGCTAGTGCGCCCGCGGCCGTCGTCACGGTGGCCGCATCGAGTTGGAGTAGTGGTAGCCATGACGCGAGCGCTAGGCCATCATAGGTGCAGGCATGGTGCAGTGACGGTGGTCGAAGGCGTCCCGGTGGTGGCACTGCAGAGGCGATGGCAAAGTCGGTGGGGCTTCCCGTCGCTGGCAGCACATTCTCTTTAGATCGGGTTAGGATTTCTCTATAGGTTGCTTGCGGCGGCTCAGGTCAACCTCATACCTTGTGCCCCGGCCCCCACCTCTCTTTTATATTGCTGTGCGATGAGGGCCCACCAACCATAGAGTGGTTGGACGCCCCCGATCAGGGCGTTGATCCAAGGGCCCAATTGGCCGTTGGGCCAATTGGTGGATATCAAACTAACACCTTTATTAGGACTCATAGAAACAGTTCTATCAGATGTATGGTTTTCTTCTTTCTCTTCCATAATAGTGGAGAGGCCTTTACTAGGACCAGACTTTAACATATAGTCTTCAAGCTGAAAGAATTTAGATCTGTTACATCCATGCAAAGCATTTTTTATCCTCAATTGCAGTCAAGGGATCATGCTTGTATTTTTGCATATTTGAGCCTTACTCATTAATAATAGTATGGGATGAATCCTCCACAATGATACTGCTAAGCATTCTAAGCTCCAGATTGTCAAATGTGCCAAATCTGAGTTGCTCAAACCCTAGGACAATAAGGTCACCAATCTTTAGGCCCTCATCTTCACTGTCCACATCATTGCTTGCCAACATTTGAGATTCCTACTAAATAGAGCAGTCACCAGAGACTTGTTTCCCTTTGACATTGGTTGCATTCTTACTGGTACCAGCTTTAGAGCGCTGGCCCATATCTTTTACAGGCTCCATTCTTTGTTTCTTAGGTGATGGAAAGTCATCCTTCGGTTCATCCCTTTCATTCCTGATCCATTGATTTCCAGAAGGATTGGTGTGCCATCTTGGGTCACCTCTCTCTAAAAGAAGTAATCATAGAAATTAAAGTCTAGAACCCCATCCGTTGAGGCAGGAACCTTGGTGACATCCCTGCACCCAATTTTGACTCTAACATAGTCATTATTGTTCAAGTTTTCCTTATCCACTTCCAAGGGCAGCCCCACTTTTGATGCTACCATACAAACATTGGAGTAAGACCTCTTCTCATAAGGGATGTTAGTAATCCTAAACCAGGCTACATCCAGTGGACCTTTGGAACCAGTTGTAGGGTTCCACTTCTCAACTTTAACTACCACCTCAGGCATGGACCTCATCCTCAATTTAGTGAAGTGGGCTAAATCATCAATGGTCTGCGCATTAGGGAACCTCATCTGATATTTTCCTTCCCCAATTCTCTTAGCATACCACCTCCAGGTGGAATTAGGACCAGCTTTCAATCTAAATTCATTTTTGATCTGCCTGGCATTTGCCTGCCCAACAGTAACAGTGATAAGAGCTGTAGTAGACATGTCTTTTATCCCCTCATTTGTATTAGCACTCTCAATAACATGGAATGCTTGCACATAAGTAGATAAACCACAAAAGGTTGAGATAAACTCCCATGACATTTTGTTCATACATACCCTAGCCACATTCCCCTCCATATGACACCTTGAGCATACAATAGGGCTTGGGCACCCATTAGGAGTATGCCCAACCTTGCCGCATTTGTGACAGAAGTGCTATCTCTCCTGCTGCTCTCTTGGAGCCTCCCTCTCACCATCCCCATCATTCTGAACTGCTTGGTCATCATTCACGATGATTTGGGTATTGTTTTTCACAGACGTTTGAACGTCGGCCGATTCTGTCTTTTGGCTAGGATTATATTCCTCCTTCTCAAATTGAGCCAGGTTAGCCTCTTGATGCATCTGGTTCCTAGGAACCCTATTGAAACCCTGACCCCCTCTACCCTAGAACCTCCCCCCATCTCTACCGCCTCCTCGTGTCACCAAACCCCGATTGCCTCATTGCCAGCCACCACGAACACCACCATGATTTCTCCCGTAGTCGTAATTTCCACCATACCCAGTATTGAATCTACCCTGGTTTTACTGCCTTTGATCCATGCTTGGCTGCGGAGGAGCCTAATGAAGGACCTCTGACAATGACCTGGTATCACCACCTAGAGTAGACCAAGTGGATTTCACAGGAGCCACACCACCAAGGGGAGCAGACTCCATGCGAGAATGAAACAAATCCCCAGAATTTTGAACAGAAATCACAGAGCAAACCCCTACTTCCACACTGCGAGCCTAGATGTGGACAAGCCTAGAACTCAGATCCACATCAGGGTGATCACATACCTCGTGCGGGAGCCAAACCCTCTTCTCCGCCTGACCTTCCACCGTAGTTCTAGAGGAACTAGGGTTTCCACCCTCACTCGAAGAAGAAACAAAGGAGGGAGGAAGGGAAAGAGAATGAGAGCGGATGCCCCTTCGACTGCTGGATATCGACCTTCACTTCTAAGAAATCTTAATGGAGGTGGGCATTGCAACCACCTCCAATCAATGGTGATGGTTAATCGTGACATAACGAAGGCGGGTGCCTTGCTCGCCTCGGTTAATCGTTTAATGGAGGCGGGCGCTTTAAGGCAACCGTCTCCGTTAATGTTGATTAACGGAGGTGGTTGACCTAAAATGCTCGCCTCCATTATTGTTTTAACCGAGGCGGTCGCTATAATATGACCGCCACAGATACAGGTTTAATGGTGGCGAGCTATTTTTACTTGCCCACCTCCGTTAATGTTTTCCCATTTTTTAAAAAATAGCCTTGGCAATTTTATTTGATTTGAATTTGAATTCTATTTTCACAAATCAAACACATATAAAAGCATAATCAAGACATATATAAACACATATTACGCATATCGAGCAAAAACATATAACACATTCATTGGTGTCCTCCATCATCAACCAACATCATTCAAAGTTATTACACACATGCGCGATGTCAAATGTTTACATGTGAAACTAAGATCACCCCGCTATCAACTTTTCTCGAAAAAGAGGTCTGGCAAGATGTAATCCTTGATTTGTAACTTAGTGCTCCAGTTTCTAATCCTTTTGAACTTCGGATCCCGCGCTAACTCGCTTTCCTTGTTGAAGAACGTTTGCCCTACATGCGCACTCTCTCTGACAAACTTACATATGTCCACTACTATTTGTCTAAAGCGCTGGTCGACCTTCTCCTTTTTCCACCCCTTGTGTTTTCTTGAGCTGCCACCAGCTGCTACTGAATCTGCTGCACATCCTCAGGTACTCGCAAACGTAGAATCCACATAGAACTGAGCCATAGGGTTGTTTGGCGCACTACACGATTTATAATACAAATCATTAGAGCATATATAGAGAGTAGGAGGAGGAGGACAGTGTAATATAGTAGTAGTACTATTGGTATAGGAGTAGAGTAGAATAGAGTAGAGTAGATTAGAGTAGAGTAGAGTAGTACTAGTAGTAGTAGGAGTAGGAGTAGGAGTAGTAGTAGTATAGGAGTAGAGTAGAGTAGTAGGAGTAGTAGTAGTAGTAGGAGTAGTAGTATTGGTATAGGAGTAGAGTAGAGTAGAGTAGAGTAGTAGGAGTAGTAGCAAAGAGCTAACAAGGAGTAGTAGTAGTAGTAGTAGAGAGCATGCTCGATATAATAGCACAAACGACTTTTGATATACTTACCGGGAACTCGAGCCTGAGTTTTAGTTTCATGCTATTCTTGATCTTCTTCTTCTCAGATTTCTGATCATAGTAGTCGGGGCCTTGCACATACTTCTTATAAGCGCTATACGAAAAACCACTTGTGTCAACGACAATTTGAACACGTTTGTTAACTATAAATGAATAAGTTCCGTCACTTACTACCTCAATACACTTTCAAAGTGTTGTACCCTGCTCTGTTTGTTTCCCACAAAGAGTCAAATATACAAGCCTTTCCATCCTGAGGATAGATTATAAATGCAATCCAGTGGCCCATGATGCCCTGGCTGCACCATTCACACAATACAGATTTGAAATGTTCAAATATGAGAAGTCATGATCCCAGTAGCTATATATATATATGTTCCAAGTATCTTTTTCGACTTACTCAAACTAGTGGGCGGCCATGATACACCCATTTCCCTAGACCTTCTTCATGGCTTCATAGATGTACATTCCCGCGCGATACTTATATTCGATTTTTAGATCTTCCCGAATTTCTCTCTCCTCCGGGTTTAAGTTCACCAGGTCTTCATGAGTGTTTGGTATGTCATAACCCATGATGGTTCTCTCTATAATAAGCATCGGAGAGAGGTAGATAATATCCTTGTCCAATTCCTTGCTTACATAGGCCTGCATCCTATAATGAAAAGTCATCATGGCATTATTAGTTTCTTCCTAAAGTACCTACAACGATGTAGTGGTGTAAAAGTCGTAATTAACTTACAAGGCAAATAAGGTGACTTGGGCAACGTCGAGGTCCTTTTGCCGTAGTAGTCTATACATGTCATGGAAATCTACGATGACTGCACCATCTGTGGGCGTGTAGAAGTACTCCACCAAAACCTTGATGATGAATGTTTCTAGGCCCACTTTCACCGCTTCCATGTACTAGAGCTGGAACCTCCTTACCTCTCACTGCTCTTCAAGGAGGTCACCCAAGGTCAACATGAACTTCCCATGCTCGTAGATGTTGGAGCAATCATCCGACAAGGGCCAAAACGATGGCGGTGTTTTCGGCCTACAACACCGGGGCTTAAGATGTTAGGGAGTGAAAAAAGCATCTAGCATCTCCAAATGAATTATAGATTGACTATGCTTGCTAGTAGCATACCTTTCAAATGTAGTTGAGTATGGGTGCTTGTCGGCTATTTGATAGGCCACCCAACTCGTCTTGGTGGGGTTCCAGGGTATGGCCTCCTCTTCATCTGTAGGCTTCCTCGGTGGGGGAGGACATTGTCTTGTGCCCTCATTCAAACAACTTGTAGGCGGTGGTGTCACATCGCCCGATGCTACCCCTATGCCTCCCTTTGGACTGCTGTTGCTGGGAGGCGGACTTTCTCAAGGACTACTGCCTAGGCTGCCAGCATTGTCGTTGTCACCGCCGTTGTCATCGTCGCTGTTGTCATCGTCATCGTCGTCACCTGGGTCACCCATGGGAGATGGCTGTGAGCGAGCTGACGCCAGCATCAGCACGTCCAAGATATTGTTGCTCCTATTCCATAGCACTTCCATGCTGAGAATACCTCCTATGAACCTGAACCCCTCTAGAGTGGGAATGTTGATTTCATCCTTGTCAAACTCAGAGTTGGTCCATGACACGTTCACCCTGGCATAGTAGGGTGGGATCCGCTTGCCGCCATACATGGCGTCACTTTTGGGCGGCAGTGCCACTCCCATGGCCACATCCTTCTTCCTCTACGCCCTGCCGAAGGGCACCTAGAGCATGCATGTCGTTGGTTCCGCAATGTCATCGACCTGGTACCTAGGGAGTCCTCCAGTTGATGGCACCATCTACCCTTGTATGGTGTCTTGAACCTGTGGTAGCACCACCCCAGCCTGGTGAAATAGTTGTGACCTCAGCTCCACCATCTTGGGGTCGGTGCTCATGAAAGCATCTTGTATTGACCCTATGATCATGTCCTTCATTGACTTATCTTTGCCTTTTTGGATGAGCCCTACCTTGTACGCTTGCCTTGTGTGGTATGTGCTAGCATTAGATGGCCAAGAATCCATAGTCTTCTAGCTCTTCCTTGAGGATACGCCACGGACACGGCCGCGATGCTCGGGTTTCCTAGCGCCTCGGTTAGTATGTCCCTCTCTCGGTGAGGTTTGAATGACCCACTCTTCTCGGCTGCAGCGATCTCCAAGATCCTCTTCTCTGCCTCCTCGATCTGTGGCTCATTGAACTTGGTCTTGCCCTCCTTTAGCTTTTTTGGCTTGCGACCTTTGAGGAAGTCCTGTGACCTCTCATCACAGTCTGCGTACGAATCTAGCAGCCCAGCCTCAGCTAAAGCCTTTTCTTCTGCCCGCCACTGCGGCCTCTTAGTGGCATACCCTATCATGCCTAGGTGGTGGTGGTGCTGGTTCCTCTTAGCAAGCTCAGAGAACTGCTCGCTCTTGAGCTTTGCTTCTGGGGTTTGTTTTTGTCTAACAAACTGTTCCCAAACTTTAGGCAAGACATAATTGTAATGGGTGAAGGGTGTCTCCCCTTTTTGCACATACTACTTGTTGAGCTTATACCTGAAGTTTTGAAGCACTTTTATTTCCTGCCAAGACCATGACATGACCCCTACACTTCACTTTATCATAGCCCTCTGGATACATGAACCGCCTCAGCATCTCTTTCCACACATGTTCCTTTGGGTCTTCTGGGACATCCTTCAAATTTTCATTGTGATAGGCACCTTCTCCCTGACTAAAATGGAGCACTGGTTGCTGAATTTGCTAAGGATCTCTATTGGCTGCAAAGGCTCTCCCTATGGCCCCACCTAGGCTATCACGTTCACATCATCATGCTTCTTGTGCCTCCCATGTTGGCCCCTTCTCAGCTTTGTCTTGTCACCGGCCGTTGTGGTTGAAGAGGTCACCGTGGAGGAGAGAATGCTTCTGGGGGAGCCCTTTCTTCTTCCTCCTCCACGTTGAACTACAAATTCCGAGGCACCAGCGGTAGTTGTCGAGGGCAAAAACTCGCATAACTATATACTTGCAGGAGCACATCAAACGTTGTGTTAATTAATGCATGCACTGATGCAAGTACCTCAAGCCTTGGTGTTTCGATATCCTCATCCAAAGGAATCACTCATGGCTGCTTACGAGAACCTTGTGTTTCGACCAATGGGTCAAAATCCGGATCGTTTGCTTCCTCTCCACGAGGTTTCTTCTGCGACCTCGGTGTCAGCTCTTTGCCCTCGTACTTAGTGGTCCCATCTGAGCTTGAGCCTGAGCCTGATGACCTTTCGTCACTATCATCAGGGGTAGCCTCATGCCACTCACGCATAGCCTCTGATTCGTTTGCCATTATAATATATGAAGAATAGGGTTATATGGACAATTCACTTGTAAATGGACAATGGAATGATTATATTCATCTCATAACTTAATACTAAATTATTTTTTCATTAACATTTGGAATTAGGATACATAAATAGAAGGATAGTACAAAATTATAGAAGAAAAGTACAAAAATCATTTACATAGTGGGCTCAAATTTGCTCTATTGTCATCACATCGCTTCTAAATTGGTTGCTTGTATATGGTATACAAGCCATCCTAGTTTAGCAGCTTACAAGTAGGGGGCAATCAATCATCATAGCCGCTGCCTCAGCATAAAAGGGTTCACATCATTGCATATGCCATTGCCTCAGCACATTTTTTGAAATTTTAAAAAGTTCATCATTGCAAATGCCACAGAGAAGCTCAAACAACATTACCAAAGCAGAGTAAATCCAGTGCGATCACGGTCCGGCTGGGAAATGAATTGCATTTGGAAACTAGTTGATTTCTCAGCCCAAACCATGATCACACCAGATCCACATCATGCATGGAGTAAGATCATGCATAGAGTAAGAGTCAGTACTACAAAAAACTTAATGAAGGCGGGAAAAATGGTTAACCAAGGTGGGCAGCCCCACAACAGCCAGCAGCAGCCACCACAATAGAGTAGAGTAGAGTAGTAGTAGATAGA